GCCAGCTCTGCCAGGGCCCCTCATGCCCGACCTGCAGCCCCCCGCTAGCCCAGCCCAGCCCTGCCCCACCCCACCCCAGCTCTGCTGGTGCCCCTCACTCCCGACCCGCAGCCCCTCACCTGGGCTGCGCTGCTCTGGCTCCGGGCCGGGGGCAGCAGCAGGGCAAGTCGGGGGCGAAGGGGGGCCCCACGTGGGGTGTTTCCATGGAGCCAGGCGGGGGGGGGCCGTGCTCCTGTGGATCTGGGGGGAGAGGATCGGTGACCTTTGACCTCATCATGCCAAGGCGCAGGGCTCCCCTTGGTCAGCTGTGAACCCCGAGGGGAGGGTCACGACCCCTGCTTCGCAGAGACCTTTGACCCCGTGATTTTTGACCCCAGAGTGATCACTGGTTAAGCCCCAAGGGGGCGTGTCTTTACCTTCTCCGTTACGTCACCAGCGGGGTCATGCCCGCGGACCCCTCGAGGTCCCCCCCACCTCAGCGGTCATGACCTTTGACCTCTAGGGTACCGAGATAACCGGGACGGCGGCCCCGAGCTCCAAACCACGTGACCCCCGGGGTTCTCCCCCCCACCCCGCTTCCCTAAGGTCATGACGGCTGTGACGTCACAGGCTCACCCCCCCACCCCGCTTCCCTAAGGTCATGACGGCTGTGACGTCACAGGCTCACCCCCCCGGATCTCACCTGCGTGTGGAGCCCCCTGAGGAGCGGGACGAGCCCCGAGGGTCCCAGCCGGCGCCAGCCCCGTCTCGCTGCCGCGCACGCCGCCATGTTCGCGGGGAAGGAGCCGTCCCCGGCCGGGCAAAGACCCAGCACCACGCGCCCGCCTCTGAGCAAGCGCTGTGCTATATGCGATGCTCTGGCGAAGTGAGCGCAGCCATATTTTTTATGGGCACGCACCATGTCTTCGATAGAGTCAGGCGCCATCTTGAGAACGGGCAGTACGCGCTCCCTCCGGACTATGGGCAGTGGCCATCTCCGATGGTGGCAAAAACCCGTCAGCGCGGCTGTAGGCGTCCGGCCGCTACGTACTGCGTCTGTCAGCCATATTGAATGAGGGCAGAGTCCTATTATTTCTTCAGGGAGGCAACCATGATGAGAAAGGGCTGGCGCGCGTGCATGTTTGGAAGGCGGCCATGTTGGCTGAAGGCATGGTCACATGGTTTGTTACCAATGGCGGCCATATCTAGAAAGGGCAACGCCACCATTGCCGGATGTCCGCCGGCAGCCATAGTGAATGTGGCAAAGCGTGGCTACAGGCAGTTGAGGCAACCATTTTGAGTGTGCCCCGTCCTGCGCAGATGTCCGTTTGATTGCATGGCGGCAGCCATATTTAATTTTGGCACAGGACTCTTGGGGCCATCTTAGGTGAGGGCAAGGGCCCCCGCGCCTGCTACGGGTCTGAGGGCGTCCTGGAGGCAGCCATATTGGATGTGGCACAGACAATTGACCTCAGACTCATACCGGAAACGTCTTAAAGGGACCCGCCCCGCGGCTCATCCCCCAATCAGTCCCTCCCCCCAACTAGCCCCTCCCCCACAATTAGTCCCCGCCCCCACCAATGCACATTGGCCACATGGGGGCCTCCCGCCCAGCCACTAGCCCCTCCCCCCTCCCAGAGCCAGGGGGAGAACCCAGGAGTCCGGGCTCCCAGGCTGAGACTGCCCCGCCCCTGAGAAAGGGACAGGGGCTCAGCAGGGCTCTGCGGGTGGGGTTTAGCTGACAGGACTTGATTTCAGACTGGGGGCACGGGTGAGAAATGGCCACAAGGGGGCAGCAGAAGCTGACGCTGGAGGCAGGTTCTGGCTCCATAACAGGACCTGGTCTCCCCTTTTCCAACTGCAGATGAACCCAGGAGTCCTGGCTCCCAGCCCCCGGTGCTCCAACCCACCAGACCTCAGTCCCCGCCCAGAGCCGGGGAGAGAACCCAGGAGTCCTGGCGCAGACCCTGCCCCCGAGTTGTTTTTGTGATTCGCCGCAATGGGCCTGCAGCGAATGGGGAAGTGAAACGAGGTGTGTCTGAGGCCTTGGGGAATAAAACGCTGCAGGGCCTGGAGCGGCCTCCGTCCGAGGACAGAGGATAAAGCCTCGCACTGCTCAGCGGGGCTGAGTGACGAGTCAAGGGTGGACACGGCAGAGGGCTGTAAAATTGTGACTGGTGTGGAGACAGTGACTAGGACCGTGTTATTTGCCCCTTCATATAACACAAGAAATAGGGGTCACCTGATGAAATGAACAGGCACCAGCTTTAAAACAAACCCAGAGAAGTATTTCTTTCGCCGCCACACAGTTAACCTGTGGAACTCACGGCCACGGGATCGTGTGAGACCAAAAAGGTTTTGACACGCAATGACCCATGTTCCTGGAGGCTGGGTCCAGCGATGGCTATTGGCCAAGCTGATGAGCCCACTGCTCTGGGTGTCCTCTGACAGCACAAGCTGGGCATGGAGGATAGAGGATGGATCACTTGGTGATTCCCTGTTCTGTTCATTCCCTCTGGGGCACCTGCCATTGGCCACTGTCAGAAGACAGGACACTGGGCTAGGTGAACCTTTGGTCTGACCCAGTCTGGCCGCTCTTATGTTCCTTTCCCAAAGCTGGGGATAGACCACAGGACTCCAGTTCCTCCTCTAAGCACCAGACCCCACTCCCATCCCAGAGCCAGGGAGAGAACCCAGGAGTCCTGGCTCCCAGGCACAGCCCCTGCTCACGAGTTGTTTTTGTGATTTGCCCCAATGGGCCTGCAGCGAATGGGGAAGTGAAACGAGCCAATTACAGAGTTTCAGGTCACTCTGGGGCCCTTGGGGTTGTTTAATAGGCCTGTGCTTAGAGTGGGTGCGATGGGAGAAATGGCCACATGGCGGCAGCAGAGGACCAGAGTTGAGGCACCTCCTGGGATTCTGAAATGACTCTGCCTCCCCTTCCCAAACCAAGAACCCAGGAGTCCGGGCTCCTACCCCCTGCTCTGACCCTTCCCTTACACCCCACTCCCCTCCCAGAGCCGGGGAGAGAACCCAGGAGTCCGGGCTCCTACCCTCTGCCCTG